AATGAGTCACCCCTCCCAAATACCATGCCCACCCTCCCCGTTTCATGGCAGCCGAAGCAACAGCAAAGCAGAGGCTGACAACCGCTTAGAGAGGGCTGAAAGCCCTATGAAGCGGTATATAAGTCTAATTGCTATTGCATGTACAGGTCGCACTAAGTTGAAACCAAACCACCACCCTCCATCTCTGTCCCCTTGCCTGGCTTTCTTCCATCTGGAAGGTCTCAGGCTTGGTGTCCCTTTGCAAGGGCTTCCTGGGTGGGATCCAAAAATTCCTCATTTTCCCTGGTCAGTTGGAGAAGTTCCCACCCGACCCTTCATCTCTTCCAAGGAAAATCCTCCTCCTTGCAGCATGGGCAATTCTTGTGATCTTCAAGGAGAACACCAGGTGTGGATGGAGAGAGTGGCCTTGAGGAACAGGAGGAGGAAGTGATCCTGACCGAGACAACGGTCAGATAAAAGACCCGATTCAGCCTGGGTTTGGGCCTAACTGGAACATCTTAGTGGGGGCTGGGAATGCATAGAGACTTAGAAGATTCTCTAATATAACTTTACAATTAAAGTAGCACTGATCTATATGACTTCTAGCTTAGTCAGCCTTTGAGTGCTGATATCAACCAATTCTGATTTGGGAAGAGAGGGAAACTTCTGTTCTGCCTTTTTGTTCACTTTCTTTCAAGATGATGAAAGATGATAATTCAGTGAAATTTTCCTTAGTGGAACAACGTGTGGCCAAGAGCATCTCAATCTCTTCTCAAAGGCAGGATGGGAAGATCCTTACCACAGGATGGCTCCCAAGATGGGGAAGGGAAGGAGCTGGAAGAAAAACTGGAGCTTCAGAATCTCTGGATTAAATCTCCAGGAGTGAGGGGCTTCAGAGTGACAAAAATATATTAAGAGATCATTGTTCTCCACCAACGCAAGCTCAGAATACTAGAGACATTGAAGAAATGCTTGCTGAGAATAGGATAGTAAAATAAAGCCACTTTTGTACAGGAAGGAAACTAGAGGCACTCAAGTCAGATTTCCGTCCAGTATTAAAGGACCCCCTGGTTGGTTATCCATTTTCTGCTGCTTCCCAAAACTGAGCTGCTGCATTCCCTTATAGCAACCACCGCAGTCCAATTTTGTGCCCAGAGGTGCATGTGCGCCTAAGGGAAGAAAATTATTCCCATGAATGTTATAATCTGCTCTGAGGCTTTCTCGGAGGCATGATGCAAATGTGCAATGCTGGTTTGAAGGAAAAGTAAGAACTGTCCAATTTACTTCCATGTTCCAGAATTTGTGGAGAGAGTACCTTACAACAAACCCTATACTGAGCTACAACTCCAAGCAGGAGGAGGTTTCATCCTAGAGGACTTCAATGAAAGCCAGGTCAGAGTCCGGGGCAGGGTGGTGAGCTGTGAGCCAAACCTATGGATGCAAATGTAAATCAATAAGACAAAGCCCCCCCCCCCCCAAACCATTGGTTTCAGCAAATGATTCCCACCTTTCACAGCCACCAGCTTTTGTAGTGGCTTCTGTACCCTTCTTTAACTTGGCAGTTTTGGGCTTCAAGGAGTCCCTAGTATTTTGGTGATCACACATTACAATCCTGACTTTGTGACTTGGAAGGGTGGATTTTCTCTGTTTGCCCGGGGTTTTTGGTGGGAAAGCGAAGGGGTTTCCCTAGGCCTTGAGAATGTTGGGGGCGGTCGTGGCTTGTTGGCTAGAAAGCCAGTAGCCCGGGTTTGAGACCCTCGCATCCTGCAATGGGATGAGCTCCTGTCCTCACCTCAGATCCTGCCCACCTAGCAGTTCGAAAGCATGCAAATGTGAGTAAATAAATAAGCATCACTTGACATCATGGTGACCAAATGACTGCAGAAATGTCTTCCGACTGCTGGTTCAATGGCCTCAAAACAGAGATGAGCGTCGGCAACAACTAAGGGAGTAAAATCTGCAGGGCTCTTTTTTTAGCATGCTGGGGAGCTCCTGCTCCGATTCCCAGGTTGGCCCTGAGCATAATCAGCACTGTAGCTGGAGGGCCCTTTGAGAGGCCACTGAGTCTTCCAGGGCAGGTGGCTCTTCTTCACCCTGAAGAGCCAAGGCGGCTTGTTTTACCTCTGAGGTTATCCAGAAGACCAGCACCACCACCCCCACCCCCCAAAAAATACCCTTCCTCTCACCCAGGTTGTGTCCTGCCTTCCAGTGTTGGGTTCAGCTGCATTTTGTGCTTGTCCCAAATCTCAGTCATTCCTGATTGCAGCTGCCCTTCCTTTCCCACTTTTGGCCAGGTGGAATTGGGTGTTCAAAAGATGATTTCTCCCTGCTTCTTTCTGGCGCCTGGGCTCCTGGTTTGCTTTTTGGCTATTGAAACCTCTTGTGTTGTTTGTGCAAAGTTTAGTTATACCATGCCCCCACTCCATGCAACCTGTGTGCACCCCGCCCTCGTGCATGCGTGCATAATCCCCACTCATGCATGCATGATCCTGGCGCTTGCACACAAGACCCCTGCACATGCACCATGCCCATTTTTGGCTTCCATTTTGGGGCTGGAAGGCCCCCACCAACCTGGAAGCCAAAATGGGGTGCAGGGGCGCTGTGTGAGGCCCCAAAATGTAATGTGTCCCCCAACGCATGTGCCCTCCTATACCTTTGTGTGGGCGTCCCTCGTGGCAGACCCAAATACCGGCTGGCTGGCGGGAGGCACGCACACCTGTGCAGTGGAGGTGGGCTGGGGCAATGGCTGGCGTGCCCGCAGAGGGTTCTGCATGCCACAGGTTTGCCATCATGGATGTATACTATGTTAGAGCAATAAGGCAAAGGGATTCTGGGGAACAAACCATTGGGGGGGGGGAGGCTCAGGAGGCCCTCCCTCACTTTCTGGCTATAAAGGAGACTTGCAAGAGTCAGTTAACAGAGCCTTCCAAATAAAGAACCAGCAGCTCCTCCGTTCAGATTCCTATCTGCTCAACCTGGGGATGCTGATATCTTGATTAACACGAGTGAGATCAGCAGCGGTGGCGGCCTTAACTGATCTTTCCCTAGTAGCCTCTCTTCACCGCATTGATCAAGATCTTTTTCACACCATCTTAGCCATAAAACCAAAAGGCAAGCGGCAAAACATTGTGACGTGCAGACCACAATTCCTGCTGGGAAATAATCTTGGCGGGAAACCGGAGTCTTGTCCTGTATGATCTTGACTTGTCTCCTGAATTGCAGGCCTGGCAAAATATCCAGGGAAATATGCTGAAGGAAGAAAATAATCCCAGGACAGAAGCTGTTTATTCAGTGATGAAAGGGAAGCTGGGCAGAACCCAAGCTGGGATGAGCTATTTTGGGGACTTGTATTCATCTTCCAGAGCATAGAGCTGATAAAAAGGACTTGTAAAGCCTAACCATTAAAAATAAAGATACAAGAAATTGCCACTGTAAAAAGAAGAATGTTTCCCTCTTTCCCACAAAGTAGCTGATGTGAACGAGGGGAAAGTCCTCTCCATTTTTCATTTTTTATGTACCCTTAAAATTACTCAGTTAATTTGATGCATATACCCAATATTCAGTGCATTTTTGTGCATTCATGACAAGCTGTATTATATTTTGAGTGGGATTAAAAAATGCACATGGAAGAAACATCAGTAATAATTTGTAGCACCTTAATCCAGTTGTTTCATTAAGGTTCCATAAATAAAACCAAGTGCAACCGAATAAAGGGCCCAGAGCCAGCACAAGCCAAGTTATAAGTGATTTATCTCAGATCACAGGTAATGAATGAATGCAGCACTCTTTTCTCTCTGCTCCTGTTCAGGTGAAATGTCAAACCACCTTTATGGAGCAGTCCGGCATCTATCAAACAGGATTTGACTGGTAGCTTCGTTGACAAGTTTGAAAGCTGGCTGGGCTCACTTCTCTTCCCAAGCGTGGTTGGGATACAACCTTCCTGGCTTCCAAAACAATGAATGCCAGACCAGCAAGTTGTAAGCCGCCCTGAGTCCCCTCAGGGAAAAGGGCGGCCTATAAATAAACTTACAAATTACTGGTTTCAGGAAGAAAGGAATGGGGGACAGTGCCGGTCATCAGAAAGTCTTTGATTAACAGTAATTGGGGCCGGAATTTCCATTGCTAAGCAATCTATCCATGACTAGGCCCCTTAGCAATGGCGGTTCTGGTGCTTACAGTTGCCCTCATTAAGCAATTAGTGCCACCAAGGGTAATGCCAGGCAGGCACCATTTGTGCTTCTTGTTGACTTTGCCAGCTGAAAGCCATCCTGTGACTGCAGGACACTGCAATGATGTCATTGTGGGGGCTCATCACAACAGGAACTTTTGAGGATGGGTCTTGAGCACCCCTCATTCAGTGCTATCGAAGGGTCGTGTAAAAATTGGGTTCTTGTTGGGGCTATGTGGATGCTGCATGTGAGTGGGAGGAAATGCAGGCAGTCATGACTCCTCAGTCTGGCAAGGAGGGTTTTGCTGTGGGACCAAGATTATGTCTTCTCCAACAGGGCAATTTGCAATTAAGGCAGGCCCAGTTTCGTCCTTTCCCTCCTTCTAACCTGCTTGCCTGGATGAGCCTGGAGGTCTAATAGGCAAATGAAGGTCCCACCTTTGTTTTTTCCACTTGCAATCTCTGAGGCAACCTCCGTTGGCTGTATCTGCCATAGGAGGATTGGCACAAATGTGAACCCTCCCCCCTCTTGATCCAGTGCAGCGCAGCCTATGAGTGCCTCCTGATAGCAGACCAGCACTGCCGCACCCGGAAGTATTTCCTGTGCCTTGCCCGGGGAATACCCTGTGTCTCTCACATGTGGGTCCATGACAGTTGCCTCGCCAACCAGACTCAGAATTACAAGAACTACTTGTTGCCGGCTGGCTACAGCCTGGAGGAAGAGCGGCTGCTGGAGTGGTGAGTAGCCAGCTGTGGGCCTTGTGGTGCTCAGGCATTGGGAGAACCAGCCAACTTCAGCACCCATCAGTGTGTGTGTTGGAGGGGGCCACATGACACATTGCTATCACAGCACAGCAGGAACATCTCTGGTGTTTAGTGCTGCTCACGGATGCATCGTTGCTTTTACTTCTAGGCATCCGCGGACAAATCCCTTCCAGAAGCTGAGGGTGCTCCTGGTGTCTGACGAATCACAAAACTTCCTGGAACTTTGGTCAGAGATTCTGATGATGGGAGCAGCAGCTTCAGTTAAGCAGCAGGAATCCTCAACGTGGAAGAACGGTACAGGCAGCTGCCAGCTTCCCCCATAGTTGAAAACATATTTTGCCTCTGCGTAAGGAAGGGCTTGGTGTTAAAAAAGTAGCCGCCCTCTTTTCTATTCTTAAAGGATCCTTTGAGAAACTGGATGAGTCTCCCTCAATATCACTGTTTCATTGAAAAGTGTTAAGTGTGGGATATGCAATACTGGAAACTGACAGCCATTGTTTCCTGTTCATACAGATGTGAGTTTGGGTGTGTTTGATGTGGTGGTGACAGACGCTTCCTGCCCAGCTGCCATGGTGCCCTGTGCCAAAGCATTACAGCTGCCAGTAGTAACCCAGGAGTGGGTGATCCAGAGCCTCATTGCTGGAGAGAGAGCTGATTTTAAATATCTGAAGTATCAACATGATTATGTTCCCTGTTAAAGCTCCCTTTTTGTTTTGTGGTGATTTTCATTCTCTAAACTTTAAACTTTTTTGTGTCATTTGACTTATGCATGGCTTGTATATAGTTTTAATGTGAACTTTTATGACAAAATAAATGGTGGTTTCTTATCTTGGCCATTATTATACTGTTACTTGCACGATGGAAGGATTCATCATCAATTACTGCCAGCCAGCCAGCCAGCCATACTGGCTGAGGAATTCTGGGAGTTGAAGTCCACAAGTCTTAAAGTTGCCAAGTTTGGAGACTCCTGCTACAAATGAATTTGTGATCACAATGCAAGAAGCTATATTGTGTAGGATACTTAGTGCGGCTGCTCTCACTTTACAAAGTGGGGCTGGAAAATCCCAAGCTTAGGTCCCCCTTCCTCTCTTTCTTGCAACAAAACTTCCACACAAACCTGCTGAGTTCCAGGTGTCCAGGAAGAAGAAATTCCCTTAAGAGCAATAAAAACCGATCTAAATAAATATACTTAGAAAAAACTGATTTGAATAGCCGCAAACACAAGATGGGAGCAAGATAGCTACCAAAAGTTTGATTTTCTTTCTAGAACTTGTGAAACAAGAATAAAAGTGCTTCTAGAATCTTTTCCATGCAAAGTTACGAGATAAATGTAGATTAGAAAATCAGGCTGGGAGGAGAGACGTTTCCTATCTCTGGGACATTTGCCCCCTATTCCCAGGCTTTTTCCTTCTTGAAAAAAACGGATTGCATAAAAATACAATAGCTGTTATCTTCTTTTCCATTAAGGGCTCCAGCAGCTTTGTTAGGAAATGAAATGCCAAGTCGCTCCTCTTATGTCTTGGGAACAATTTCCAGCAAAAGAGGCAGCAAATGTAGATAGTGTTGTTCAAACTGTGTCTTCAGCAGAGTTTCCCCTCTGATCAAGAGAAGCAAACAAAAACAGCCTGAGCAACTGAAATCTTCAAGACCAGGTTGCTTTTCACATACTAGTCCATCTTGAGAAATGGAACAAAATTTTTTAGGCAGTTAATAGTATTGCAACCTTTATAGTCATCAACTGATTTTCGCTTAGAAATGGGGAAGGGGACCACTTCAAAAGGCTCTGCAGTCACAGCAAAAAGGGGCGACTCATTTGGGAGCCTGAAGCAAGCAGCGTTGCTTCTCCCTTTGCTTCCAAAGAGCCCGAAAGCTATTTAATACACAAAACTCCACTTGCAATGCTGTTGGCAGCCCTGCAAGAAACAAGCCTCCGCTGTCCTCCGCCAGTGGCTGGAATGTTGCTGCCAGGACACTTCTTGAAAACCGTGGGCTAATCATTCCAGCCCCACACTGTAGGGAAAGAGAAAGGATTCAAAGGAAGACATGGGAGGAAGCAAACATTTTCTAATACATGGACAGATTACAACAGACGCAAGGAGCATGATCTGACTAATCACAAAAAACCAGGGAGGCAGAGGGTAGCTGCTATTCTGCAGTTTCCCCCATGTGTGACAGGGAAGCAAGAAAAAGGGAGTGGACAGCATGTCTGTTGCCCAGGCCACATAGCCTGGAGGAGATCTAGATGCAGAGATTGGAGGGGAAGCTGCAGGGCTTGACACAGCCTTTGGCCAGGTGTCCCACACCGATTCTGTTGGAAGGGGGATAGAGGAGCCTCCTCTGCTTTGGGGTGCTGAGCCTTTACCTGCCCAAAGTGCCTCCAGCGTGAGTGTAGTACTTGTTGTAGTCCAGGCGTAACAGCAGTTGTGCCAAGTCAGAATTTATCTGGTGGTTGTGAACGCTGGAAAGAATCTTGAAGAGAAGGGAGGACTGGCAGCTGAAGCCCTGCAAAGGGAAACCCAGGCATCAGAGCAGCCTTCTAGAGCCAATCTGCTCTCACAGGATGCCCTTAGGGAGCCCAATTTCAGACAGGAAAAGAATGGCACTGCCATGCCCAAGGTGGAAAAACATTAAAGTGTGTTTAAAAAGTATAAAAAAGGGTTGTGCAGCTGCTTCTGGAGCAGTGGCTTGGCCCTCACTATTTCCACATCCAGGAATGAAACTGGAGAGAAAACATGGATGGGGACAGAGGCATTAATGGACCTCTCAACTGTGATGGAGGAGCTATCTACACCAAGTCTTCAAGACAAAGTAGCTAATTTCGGCAAAGAAAAAGGTTAAAGCACAAAAGGACAAAGTTGGGTTCACCAGGAAAACTACAATCACATGAAAACGATAGTACTCCCTCTTTGAGTACTATGGTTTTACATATCAGGACAAAGTAAAAATCATCTGGTCCTTAGCAGTTCTTAAAAGTAGGTAAATACAACCTCAGAGAACATGATATATTACACCATGTCATCATTTATTTTACAAAAAGAAAGCCAAAATGTTTTGGCTTTTTTTCACAGCCATGTGTGAAAAAAATCCAAGTATACATAAGAAGGTGCTGCTAATCAAGTGCCCTTGATCAATTGATCATTAGCAAGTGTGATTCCCTCTATAAAAGCCTTAGGAGTTTTAGGAGTTTGCTGATCTCCAGAAGAGTAACATCAAAAGGTGCAATTGTGCTGTGAGGAAACTAACCCCAGATGCTTCTCCTGTGTGCTGCTCCGGGAATCCAATCATGGGTTAACTTAGCCCTTTAGCCTTGAGACTGAGTATGTAAATTTCTAAACCACGCCTCCTCTGGCTGGACTTCCTTCCTTTCTTCAGTTTTTGCACGAAGTCCACCGAGAATAAGTATGTCAATGTCAATGAAGCCGCAGGCAATCCTGGTACTAAAAAACAGTCAAGTCCAGTCAGAGATAAGATAGTCACAGAGTCACAATCAAGGTGGAGCCCTGGCCAGCCGAAACTGCGCGCGGGTTTGGATT